TTAGTAGAGAGGCCTAGTTATCTTATTTAAAATTATAGAATACACGAAGGTAGGCCTCGAGCGTTTAGTTCTATCGCTCTATCTAACTATCTATTTATGGATAGAATACTATTAATATATTTCTATTTATACCGGCCATTTCGTAGAATGACGTCTAGAATTTAGATATGAATATACTCCCTCGGTCTATAACGATCCTTTTTAGTATACTATAGACCTTAATAATCTTATTCTAGAATACTTATACTAGTTCTTTTAATATAATCGTCTTCTATATAGAGACGTACCTAGACATCTTTATAAGTCTATCTACGATAATAAGAATTAAATTATAACTTATCCTAAGTATCTCGCTTAGAGGTAAGTTAACTATAAAATCTATAGTAATATCTTCCTATATAAAGAGGGGGACTAGTAGAGGCTATAAGTTCCTATATAGCTTATGCCTAGGTACCTTTATTCTTTAATAAATTAGATAAGTAGCTATCTATTCTTCGACGTACTTAGGTATATCTTTCTAAAAATAGTACTAATAAATCAAGCTTAGGGTGCGTATATACCCGAAATATTCTATTAGGTTAGTGTTATAGTATTGGCTAACTATAGTAAATCGTGTGTTATCCGTTGGTATATAGTACTTTCTATTATAGTAGAGTAAGCCGTCTATAAAGGTCTACTTATAGTCTACTTCGGTCCGTAATAACCTATCTTACTATATTTTATATAACTTTAAAACTATTAGGTCTATCTTTTATAGATCCGCGATTAACTAGGCGAGGTCTACTTAATATATACGCTAGGCACTATCGCCCTCTCTAATAGCGCCGATAAATAGCTTACTAGGGACTTCGGTACCGCGTCTTTGGTTACTAGCTTTAGTCTTATAAATTTAATTACTAGCATCGGCGTTAGTATCTCGCTAATTATCGGATAACTTATTATCTAATCTCGTCCTTAAGAGTTAGGCCTATAGCTACTCTAGGACCCTATAGCTACTATAATTCTAGGCGCCTTCTTTATAGTTAGGTCTTCTTAATATTCTATTAGCTAG